AGTTGAGGCTGGCCTCGAACTCTAGGTGATCCTCCCGTCTCAGCCTCCCGAGGGCTGGGATTACAGGTGTGCACCATCACACCCAGCTACCTTTTTTATTTTAGAATAGTTTGGATTCACAGAAATATTGTGAAGATAATACAGAGAGTGCCTGTATACTCTACCCCTGGTTTCCACTAGTAACATCCCATAGTAGCATGGCACATTGGCCCAATTAAGGCGCCAGCGTTGATACTGCTCTGCACTGTCATGGAGTTGCTGTTGCTCAGAATTTCCTTGTCCTTTAAAAATTGAGATACAACTCACACACTAAAAAGTTTAACCTTTCAAATGGACAATGCAGAGTTTGGTTTTTGTGTTTTACTCTATTTGCAAAGTTGTGCAATCATCACAATCAGCTCTGTTTAATTCCAGTCACTTTCAACTCCCTGTAAAGAAACCCACAGGGCTGGGGTAGCTGAGTGACAGAGCACGTACTGAGCATGTGCAAGGTCCCGAGTTCAGTCCACAGCACGTGGAAGGAGGGAAGTGGAGCGGGGGACCAAGAAAAAGAAGGAAAAGGAAAAAAAGAAGAAGAGGGGGAACATGAAACCTGTACTTGTTAGAAATTGCTCCCAGTTCCCATAGCCTCTGGAAACCACTAGTCTAACTTATCTTTTATAATTGGAATCATAGACTGTAAAAATCTGACTTCTTTCATTTAGCAAGCTATTTTTTTTTTTTTTTTCCCAGCACTGGGGATCGAACTCACGACCTCGCGCTTGCTGGGAGAGCGCTGTGCCGCTGAGCTAAATCCTCAGCCCCAAGCAAGCTATTTTTAGCTTTATCCACCCTGTAGCATTAATTAGCAACTCATTCCTTTTTGTGGCTGCATAATATTCCATTGTATGGACATATCATGTTTGGTGTATCCATTCAACTGATAGATTATTCCACTTTTTGGCTATTATGAATAATGCTTCTATGAATGTTTGTATGCAAGTGTTCTGTGTGAACATACGTTTTCAAAGATCTTGGATATATTCTTAGGAGTGGACTGCTGGGTCATAAGATGTTCTATGCTTCACTTTAGAGTTTTCCAAAATTCTATGCTTCAAAAAATTAAGCATGGAGTTCCCAGAGCGGCTGCACTTTTTCACCTTCCTGCCAGCCGTGTTCTGAGGCCTCCAGTTTCTCCACAGTCTTGTCTTCCATTTGTTCCCACTCACCCCAGGAAGTGTGAGGTTGTATTTCACTGTGCCTTGATTTGTGTTTCCCTAATGCCTGATGATGTTCAGATTTTAAAAGCATGTTTATTGACCACCTGTGTATCTTTTTTGGAGAAATATCTGTTATAATCCTTTGCCTTTTTAAAAATTGTTTTTTTTTTTTTAAATGTGGAGAGTAAGAGCTCTTTATATATTATGAATACTAGACCCTTACCAGATGTATGATTTACAAATATTTTCTTCCATTCTAAAGGTTGTGCTTTTATTTACTTTTCTTTGTAACAGCTTAATCGAAATAGAACTTGTATGCCATATAAGTCACCCATTACAGTGTACAATTCAGTTGTGTTTAGTATGTTCACAGATTTGTACACCATAACCATCTCTTTTGGGGGTACTGGAGACTTAACCCAGAGGTTTCACATTGAGCTACACCCCTAACTAGACTTTTCTTATTTTTTAATTTTGAGACAGGGTCTTACTGAGTTGCTAAATTGCTCAGGGTGGGCTCAAGCTGCAGATCCTCCTGCCTCAGCCTCTCAGAGTATTGGGATTACAGGCATGAGCTACCCTGCCTGGCTCCAGTACATAACTATTAAAATGACAATATCATATGGCCAGCAGCTCTGTATTCCATCTGGTGACCTAGTTAGCAATTCCTGGTTTTTTGTTCTTTGTTTTTGTTTTTGAGACAGGGTCTCTCTATGTAGCAGAGGCTGACCTTAAACTCATGGCAATCCTCCTGCCTCAGCCTCCTGCACATGTTCTTCGTTGGACTGCAGGTCCATTGAAGATCTTCAAAACTAAAGTCAAATCAGAATTCCTAGGGCCAGGGAGATAGCTCAGCAGCATGGTGCTTGCCTGGCAAGCATGAGGTCCTGAGTTTGATTCCCAGTTCCAAAAAACTGGAACTCTCCTGGGCCCCTGGAAGTGCCTGCTCCACAGCACTAAACCCCTCAAGGCATTTTATGGCCCTGTAGTGGATTGACAACTGGTGGTCAACTTGTAACCCCCAGCTGAACTGAGTCAGCGGGTGCTGGGTGTTGGAGGCCCACCTAAGGACTGTTGCCAGCAGCATAAGAGGCAGAATGGAGAAGGAGGAGGAAGCTGTTGGGAGCTGGTAGAAGCTGTAAGGAGCTGTTGGTTCTTTTGGAGGAGCTCGTCATGCTGGCTTTCCTGATGAACTTGGCTGTTTTCATCCTCCGAGGAGCTCGGGACCTCGTTGGCACTGAGAATGGCTTTGGTTCACTTTGGAGGCGCTCTGGTCCTCACTCTGAGCATCGCTTCCTGGCTCCAGAGGGGAAGATGGTGCACTGCCAGTCTCCTTGAGAAGCTTGCTGCCTTGGCTTCCCTGATGGGAACTCAGCTGTCTTCACCATTGGAGGAGCTCAGGACTTCACTATTGCTGAGGATGGCTGTGGTACCTTTCGGGGGAGCTCTGGTTCTTCTGAGCATCACTTCCTGGCTGCAGTGCAGATCCCTCAGCCTGCTGGCACAGATCCTTCATCCTGCTGGTACAGACTTTCTAGATTCCACTGCTGACCTTTGGGCCTTCACAGCACAAACCAGGCCTGCATGAGATGTTGTTATGGGCTCTGGGCTTCCAGTTGGACTTGTGGGAAGCATTATGAGCTCCAGATCTTCAGCTGGACTCATGGAGGACATTATCGCGGGATCCAGGCCCTCAGCTGGATTCTCAGTCTATGTTGTGTGGACAGATTTCCTGCACTCTTTTATATATTGTTCTCGGGGTGATTATTATAAATAATCTGTAAAATGTGTGTCCTGTATTATATTGTTCCCTTGCAAAAATAAGCCCCAAACCAACACAGGCCCCTAACATGCTCAGTATTGCGTTGTGGTCATGTATTATAATGTAATGTTTTATCTGTTGCCTCTCCTAGACAGACATGGAGGATACATCTGTCTCGATGGTTTTTAATTCCTATGTGAACCAACACAGAGCTCCAGCTGGACAGGCTTGATGCATGTTTCATGTTGAATGAGTGGAATATATATGCTAAATAGCTTTAAAATGAATCAGATGTACTTTGTATCCTGATGGAGACCACTGTGAAGCAGCTCTGAGCAGGATTTGAAGTTAATCAGTTGGCTTTGTATATTTACTTATGAGTCTGTCCTGGGCCTAGACAGCTTTCTCTCCTGCGGTACGCAGTAAGTGTAACTCCCCGTGCGAACACTCACAGTTCAGACCTGTATTGGTCCATGACACCTCAGAGGGCAAGACAAAGCCACAGCTGAGGACACCCGGCTCTCACTCCAGTTTGTAAGATGAAGACTGCAGCTGTGGGGCTGGGGTTTAGCTCAGCGGCACAGCGCCTGCCTGGCAAGCATGACGTCGTGAGTTCGATTCCTGGTACCAGAAAAAAATAAAACAAACCAAAAAAAACCAAAGACTGCAGCTGTAGCCACTTGGCTCCCGTTGTAAATGTCAGCCTGAGAGATAGGACAGTTCTCTTAACTGGCAACATTTACTACTTGGAGAAGTCTTTGAACTAACTTCCCAAGGTCCTGCTCAAGTTTCCTACCTTTACCTCAATACCCTCTCCCTTTATTTGGAAACCCAATAAATATGGACGCTCCAGAGAATTCAGGGTCTTAGCTCCCAGAGAGCTTTGACCTTTCTGGGCTCCCCAAACCATATTACTTGTCTCTTTTATTTAAACCCTGGTTGTTAACTTGTTTTAGGAGGTTGGGGGCCCGCTCGGTCTCCAACAATATCCCAATGCCAATCACAATACCATATACCCACTAAGAAGATTTCATGTTAAATGTTTAATTCATCTTTTTCTTTATGGAATTTGGTTCACATATGCTCTTTCATAAGGCAAAGATTAGTCAGGCATGGTGACATATGCTTATAATTTCAGCACTCTGGTAGGCTGAGGCAGGAGAATCACAAATCCATGCCCAGCCTGAACAATTTAGCAACTTAAGAGACCCTGTCTCAAAATAAAAAATAAAAATAAAAAAGGACTGGGTATGCAGCCCAGTGTGAGTGCCCTGGGTTTCAGCCCTAGTAACACACACAGACACACACACACACACACACACACACACACACGGGCAAAGATGAATCTAGAAATGAATAAACAAAGGGCCGGGGATTTAGCTCAGCGGCACAGCGCCTGACTGGCAAGTGCGAGGTCGTGAGTTCTATTCCCGGTACAAAAAAAAAAAAAAAAAAAAGAAAGAAAGAAACAGAATGCTCATCCACTAATTCTCTGTAGAATGCTGGCCAAATGATCTATTACTCTAAATAGCCACATAGAAGCCAAGGAAGTAAATGAGTTACAAAACAACTAGTAAAAATAGGAAAATGAGCTTTTTAAAGAGCTTTTTGGAATTCCTTAACAAGCTATTATTGAACATTTAACAAAAAAACTTAGAAAAAATAACTTGAACAACTTTTTCTGAGGGGGGGGTCTCACTATATAGTTCAGGGTGACCTTGAACTCACTATGTAGTCCAGGCTGGCCTCCAACTTACAGTGACCCTCCTGCCTCAGCCTCCCAAGCACTGCAATTACAGGAGTGTGCCACCACACCTGCTTTGACCAATTTTTTTTTTTTTTGTCTTTTTGAGACAGGGTCTCACTATGCAGTTCAGGCTGTCCTTGAGCTCACTTTGTAGCCCAGGCTGGTCTCAAACTCCCAATGATCCTCCTGCCTCAGCCTCCCAAGTCCTGGGATTACAGGCATGCACCACCATTGCCAGCCTTGACCAATTTTTTTTAACGCTTAATAACAACAAATATTAGTTCTACTTAGATTAGTTACATCAAAGTAGTTTATTTCAATACAAGGACTTGAATACAGGCATGGAATGTACCAGATTATTTAAGGCATGATGTTTGAGACAGGCTTCTCATGGCTAGGTCCATTGTGTCCTGAATTCTCACGTTTATTTCTATCAGGGAAGAATTTCTGCCAGATGCTTTTGCGTTTTCTTCTGGGTCAATGGGGAGGAGGGTATGGGGGTTGAACAGATACCGCGGCTCCCCCAAGATGCCAACCCTGTAGAAAGAATCAGCAGCACAGCTCAAGTGCAAGGCCAGCGAGTGACGCAAGGTTGTGGTTACGATTGTGACTGCCTCTGTGTGTCTGAATGCACACATATGTGTGTGTACAGCAAAGACTGACACACAGACACACACTTTTTTTTGGTACCAGGAATCGAACACACAACCTAGGGTTTGCCAGCTAGGTGCTATGCCGCTTAGCTATATCCCCCGCCCCCCACCTTTTTAAAAAAACTGTCCTCAGGGCCAGGGATGTAGCTCAGCAGCACAACGTCTGCTCAGCAAGCACAAAGTCTTGAGTTGGATTCCCAGTATCAAAGAAAAAAAAAAGCTGTACCCAAAGTGAGACCCTCTCTCAAAAAATTTAAAAAAAATTTTAAAAAGCTGTCCCTATTCCCATGAAGTACCCCTTATATACCGGTTCAAAACACAACTGCAAGCAATATTTTGTACTGGCCCTTCCTACATTCCCAAAGATGCTTCCAATAGTAGAAAAATCTTCGCTTTAAAAGATCTGTTTCAAGCAGGGCGTGGTGGCGCATGCCTATAATCCCAGCAGTCTCGAGGCTGAGGCAGGAGGATCTTTGAGAGCTCGAGGCCAGCCTGGGCTACAAAGTGAGTTCAAGGCCAGCCTGAACTACACAGCGAGACTCTGTCTCAAAAAGACCAAAATAAATAAATAAACAAAAATAAATAAAAGATCTGTTGCTCACTACTCAAAGCTAGAACATTGGAGGCTAGCGTAACTTTCAGGAATTCTGTCCTGGTCTAGTTGGGTGTAAGGAGAGACACTATGGACAGGAAATAGGGAGAGGGGTGGGGCGGTCTGTACCCAGCCCTCTATCACAGGCATGGTGCCCGCCCCACTCTCCCGGACCAACCAAGTGATGCCAGCGCCTTCCGCCTCTGTCCTTGGCCACTTACACTGGCAAGGGCACAGAGTCCTGGCTTGACATGTGCTTCCCCACATAGCCCGACCGTCTCTCGCCTCCTTGGTACTTTTTCTCAGCAATGTTCTGAGCTTTTTCCCTGAGAGACGGCAGCAGAGTAGACACGACTGGAGAGCGCATGTTAATGGCTTTTTTAATTGCTGGGCGTTTCGCCATCATCCTCCTGTGGGAGCAAGAAGGTGACATTAAGGTCCCATGATCCTTTACACTAGCAACATCCTCGAGCTTAGGGAAGTCAAAAGATCATACCTGAGCCAGGCACAGTGCTGCATACCTGTAATCCCAGCCCCTCAGGAGGCTGAGGCAGGAGGATTGCAAGTCTGAGACCAGCCTGGGCCACTTAGCAAGACCTTGTCTTCATTATTTTTTGTTGTTGTTGTTGTTTTAGGTACAGAGAATCAAACTCAGGACCTCACACTTGCCAGGCAGGCGCTGTGCTGCTGAGCTATATCCCTGGCCTGACTTTGTCTTTAAAAAAGAAATAAGCAAGCAAACAAGCAAACAAAGAAGTCCTACCTGAACTGTACCAACGTCATACGCTTCCTCTCCCCTCCCGATTCTTCATCTTCATGCCTCCGTCGCGGGATGTTGAACATATTGGTCCGGAAGAGCCTTCCTATCTCTTCCTCAATCTCTGTCAAGTGCTGACGCCGGAAAACAATCCAAGCTACGTGCGTACAGAACGTGAAAAAGGACTACAACGAAACACGGGGGAGGATCACCATCCCTCAAAATGACACGAAGACTCCCACCTCGCATAACACTGCCGAAAAGACGCAGACACAGATGACCCACTTCTCCCAGCTCTGGGCGGCTGTGTAACTGTACACGTACTCGCCTCTGAGGGAGGAGAATCAGACCGGAATTCTAATGCCAAGGTCTACAGTTTGTCAGCATCCCTTCTAGCAAAGATATTCACTGAAAATACATCCCTAACAAATGGCTATTGTCCGTTGCTATACATCACGTTTTATTTGAAAGTTAAGTCCCCAAAAGGTAAGTGACTCACCTCGAAGAATTTCCAGTCTTTTTGTGTGTCTGACATTTTATCCCTGTAACATAACAAATCATAATTATAGGTTGAGATGGAAGACCAGGCTTTACAGATCTAGCACTCATCTTCCCCCAAAGGTAATATTGTGACCGGTGGCCCCAAGAGGATTCAGGACATCAATACTAGCAAGGGACGTTGGTCACAGGTCTCAACATTTTCTTCAACTTTCTAGGTGACCCAGATCAAAACCCCTGGAGTGTCTGGTCAAAAGTTAAATCAAGGTAGATTCAGGATAAACCAGAGAGTGAGGAATGTATTCTTCCAAATGCCTCTGGTGATGCATGTGTACTGGAGAAGTAAGGCCAGTGGTCAGAGGGTAACAGGTAATATGGTTTTTTTTGAGACAGGGTCTCACTGTGCAGTTTAGGCTGGCCTTGAGCTCACTTTGTAGCACAGGCTGGTCTCGAACTCGCAAAGATCTTCCTGTCTCAGCCTCCCAAGTGCTGGGATTACAGGCATGTGCCACCACACCCAGTTCTGGTAATAGGTAATATGAGGTATTAAGTAGGTTTCAACGTGCAGAATTAGAGGGTAAATCTAGAAGAAGATGAAGAACAGAAACCTTAAACAATGCAACGGCTATTAGGTGCTGGGAGACACACCATACAAGCCACAGACTGAGGTCAGTGCTGTGTTCCTCCTTCTGATGGATACAGGCAGATTTGAGCCTTAGTTCTTCAGGGCAGACAGTTGCTCAAGAGTCCCCACAATATGAATTCAAGGTTCAGGATGCTGCACCAGCATAAGCCGCCTAGTGAACTCAGCCTCACCTTCCCAGTAGGTCCTGCCATTCTGTTTTGTTTTTGTGTTTTGGTTTTTTCCAGTACCGAGAATCGAACTCACGACGTTGCGCTTGCCAGGCAGGCGCTGAGCTGCTGAGTTAAATCCCCAGCCCCGGTCCTGCCATTCTGATTTGGACTCCGTGGCTTAGGAGAGCAGGCGGGCCCTTGAGAGCTGACTGAGTGGCCAGCAGACCTGCAGCCACTCGGTCAGTCACGGGCACCAAGGCCGGAGCCAGTGCACCCCACTCACGATCCTGGTTTTACTCCTGGTTTTGCTTGGTCTTCCCTGGAGTGACTGTGACTTACAGGACCGGCCCAGGCCCAGGCTCTCCAGAATTTTCCCAAATACCCAAAGTTCAGCAAAGGTGACCCCAAAGTATCAGGATCCCCAGTGTTCTCACAGGGACTTTGGCTTGTACGGGCCCCAAGGCAGCCTTCCTTTTGGGACATGCGGCTATAGAGGCAGGTCAGCTTTCCTGGGGCCTGGCCCTCCCTCCTGCACACTCCTCTCTATCCACTGACTTCCTCTCGGCAAGACTTCAGCAAAGAACATTAAGTGCTTACAGACCGTTCATCCCCAGTACCGCAGCCAGCCCTTTACACCGCTGTCAGGCTTGGTCCTCCTAGCACCCCTGGAGGTAGACAGCACGGTGGCTCCCACTCCAGAGAACTCAAGTCCAAGGACTTACTTAGAGACAGATCTCGTACTACCCCTACCCCTCAGGCCTGAGAAATCCACACCTCTACCCTCACAACCAGAACACGAGGGAGAACGGCTTTTTCCCTTAGAATAATTTGCAAAAAAACTGCAATTAATAATTTGTAGAAATACCGCACAACAGAGACCAGCTGAAGCTTTTTCGAGTCCAACATCAATGCCACCTGGGGCCTCCACCTGAGAGGTTTCTGCCCTTGTGTGTTCTCTACCAGCTGCAAGCAGCGACTGCGCAGGCCCCGCCAGGCTGACACAGGACACCAGCTAGAGTGCTTTGGGTACAGCAAGTCAGCTTGTGCTTTGGAGGAAAGTTTAGAGCCACATCCAGCCAGCACCATCTTAGCATGGTTTATTTATTTATTTATTTTTGTCTTTTTGAGACAGGGTCTCGCTATGCAGTTCAGGCTGGCCTTGAGCTCACTTTGTAGCCCAGGCTGGTCTC